TACATCCCTTCTTACCGCACAGCCTGACTCAGTGTCTCCTATGGAGCAAGGATTCAGTATGTTTTTATTAGTGAAAGTCTTTGCAAGTAAAATTCATGTTTATTTTCAGCCCCTCTCCATCTCCTTTTGGTGATTTCTTACCCTTTTCGACACATTCTCCACTCATGCCGTGGACCCATGTCGTATGTAGTAGCCACTTGAGGTCCCGGAGAAAGCTATCTTTTCCAACGTTTTAGACATTTTTATTTCATTTACGCTCACCTGCGGTGTTAGTGAAAAGAATATTGGTATCAGAGTCAGAAAACGTTTCATTTCTGTACCTTTCTTGGTCCCTAATGTCACCGTGGAAAATAACGACTGGTTTAAACTCAACTTCTTTATCTATAAACTACTAATATCATCTATCCTGACTATCATACAGGGCTATTGTGAAGATAAATACACACAAATGAATGAACACAAGTGACTGCACATGTGGTTGGTCTGATTTCCTCAAGGATGCATCAAGATTCTTGGCTTGTTGATCTAATAAAGAAAATATGCCGGGGCGCCTGGGTGGCTCAGTCGGTTGGGCGTCCGACTTCGGCTCAGGTCACGATCTCGTGGTCTGTGAGTTCGAGCCCCGCGTCGGGCTCTGGGCTGACGGCTCAGAGCCTGGAGCCTATTTCAGATTCTGTGTCTCCCTCTTCCTCAGACCCTCCCCTGTTCATGCTCTCTCTCTCTGTCTCAAAAATAAACAAATGTTAAAAAAAAAATTAAAAAAAGAAAATATGCCATAGGGTAATGATGTATTACCTAGTTTTGTCGATGTTGATTTCTAACAAGGACTTCTGAAAACATAAAACCTCAATTCATGAGAATGACACTAAAGATATAAGGAAAGGTATTTGGGGACAGAAAAGTCCAGTATTTTCATTTATAAGTTAATAATGCTAATCCAATTCAACAAATATTTGTTGAATGTCTATTCTGTGCAAAAGAGCATCCTGGGTGTTATAAGAAGTATCAACAGGACACCCACTCTACTGTCTTCAAGGACAAAGCTAGTAGGAGACTTGCAGGTACCCAATTAACTTTAACACAAGGGAAGTTTGGTACAATCTGTGGAAGAACCAACTTCAAAAGACAAGAGATTAGTTCTGACCATACCTGGAAGATTTTTTAGAGGAGATGCATTCAACTAGGACTTCAAAGTTGGGCGGATTTCAGTGAGCTGGGTTGAAGAGTTCAAAGGGGAATAAAAGGTATGGGGCGCCTGGGTAGCTCAGTAGGTTGAGTGTCTGTTTTTTTTTTTTTTAAGTTTATTTATTCATTTATGAGAGAGAAAGAGTGCGCATGAGTGGAGGAGGGGTGGAGAGAGAGAGAGAGAGAGAGAGAGAGAGAGAGAGAGAGATTGAGAGAGGGAATACCAAGCACAGAACCTGATGTGGGGCTCAAACTCATGAACCGTCAGATCATGACCTGAGCAGAAACCAAGAGTCAGATGCTTAACCGACTGAACCACCCAGGTGTCCCGAGTATCTGGTTTTTTATTTGGCTTAGATCATGATCCCAGGGTCGTGGCATCAATCCTTTCTGTGGGCTCTGTGCTGTGCTTGGAGCCTGCTTGAGATTCTCTCTCTGTCTCTGCCTCTCTTCCCTGCTCACTCACTCTTTCTAAAATACAAAAAAAAAAAAAAAAAAAAAAAAAGTAAGAATAACAGCACGGGCCAAGAAACAAAAAGTACAGAAAATACTCTAGGAGTAGCAAGTCGAATTTATCTTAATTCCTTCAATTTGTAGAGTGTCTTCTATTTCTCAAAGTGCTTTCGTATGTGATGTTTGAGAATTAGAACAATCATGTGGATGCTTATAGTAAAGTTGTATTTGATTTTACCTATGAAGAAAGTGAGGTTTAAAGAAAACAAATGATTTTTATGAAGTCATCAGTGAATAGATCCTGCTTAAGAAGATTACTCTGATAAGAATGTGACAGGGTAAGTGCAGGAAGGATGGCACTTAGGAGGTTTCTGACGGTTTTGAGAGAAACACTGAGACTGTAAACCAAGGTTGGTTTGTTTGCAGTGGTGAAGCAGCTCTTTATAGCTACTGCAGATGCACCACCATGTGATTTTACTGTTCTTTTTAATTTTTTAAATGTTTATTTATTCTTGAGATAGAGAGACAGAGACAGAGTGAGCAGGGGAGGGACAGAGAGAGAGGGAGCCACAGAATCCAAAGCAGGCTCCAGGCTCCGAGCTGTCAGCACAGAGCCTGGTGTGGGGCTTGAACCCACAAACGGTGAGATCATGACCTAAGCCCAAGTCGGACGCTTTACCTACTGAGCCACCCAGGTGCCCCTTCCCCACCCCCCACCCCCGATTTGGAAGGATAAGAAAGAAGCATCAAAAGACTCAGAGGCTAGTCACGTATAAACAAAATCTGGCTTGGCTGTTTGGGGCACATCAGTGACGTCTGTTAGTATTTTCAGTGTTCCTGCCCAACTCTTACTGAGCTCTGTGGGGAATGGTAAACTTAATTCTAACTAAAGATTATATTTGATCTAAATGTGCACCCAGCACAACCTGAAGAGAAATGAGAAGTCCATGATGGAGCATTCAGATTAATGATCATTGTGATGGTTTTAAAATATGTTCACAAATTATTTAATACTCCTCCCTTCAAGAGATAAAGCTTCATTCCCCAGCTCTAAACCCTTATGGGCCATACTGACTGACTGGATTCTAAGGAATAGAAATCGTGAAGGTGTGGTTGTATCACCTCGGAGACTAGGTAATAAAGATCCTTGCAAGCTTTCTCCTTGGCTTTTCTTGTAGATCACACCTCCCGGGGAACCCGGCTGGCACGTTAGGAGGACAGCCAGGCAACCCTCAGAAGATGAGAAACCAAGGCCTCCTGTCAATAGCTGCGCAAGTGAGCCACCTCAGAAGTGGATTTTCCAGCTAAAGTCAAGCCTTTGATGGTGGCAGCTTTGGCCAACGTCTTCACTGCAAATGCTTGAGAAACTCGGAGGCGGAACCAACCAGCCAGACCACTGCCCAATTCCAGACCTGCAGAAACTTTGACATAACAAATGGGATAATTTACAAGGTAGCAATAAATAGTTAATGAAAAGGGAGAAGCAGATAAGCAAATAGCACTTTCCTGCACCAAAGGGGCAGAGATGATGACTGAATTTGGCCTGTAATGAACAGGATTCTTTCTTGATTATTCAGTAACTGGACCTAGAAGAGTAAACACAATTAAACAAGGGACTAACGTACAAAGAATCTTGAAGGTGATCACGCTACCTTGACCACTAATCTCTCCCCACAAAGAAAAAGGTTGAATTCTTCTCAAATGTTTGAATTCAAGTCTCTAATATATATTCTTCTGGTTTAAGTGCAGCACAGTGATAGGCTTATTGAATCACACACAAAGTAACATTTTATTTTAATGCGCTGTATTTTAATTTTCAAAAAAGATTTAAGATTTTTCATTATTTACAAAATTGTATGGAGCCATTAGCTTCATGTATTTACATGGAAGATCTTCGTATAAATTTGAAAAGCTATGCATTGCCCTCATATTTGTATAGACCCCTGGCTTTTACAAAGTGATTTCATATGGCATTCATGCAGCAACCCGTAACAGGGTTGATGAATTTGGGTACAACTTACTTAGCTTAGCCATCTAAAAAATGAAAGGGTTTTTAATATGAGACACTAAAATATATTTGGTATATAAAGCCACATTTTCGAAAGCATGCTAACTCTATCCGAGAAAAAATACAAGCTGCTTGTTCTAAAAACCCTCCTCCAGGGGCGCCTGGGTGGCGCAGTTGGTTAAGCGTCCGACTTCAGCCAGGTCACGATCTCACGGTCTGTGAGTTCGAGCCCCGCGTCAGGCTCTGGGCTGATGGCTCAGAGCCTGGAGCCTGTTTCCGATTCTGTGTCTCCCTCTCTCTCTGCCCCTCCCCTGTTCATGCTCTGTC